CACTGGGCGTCCCTCATGGACTCCCTGGGCGCCTGCAGCCGCGTCTTTCAACTCCTGGACCTGCCATCCTCGCCACAGCTCGCACAAACCAAAGGTGAGCTCGCACAGGCCTAAGGTTAGGACACGTATCAGGTCACACGGCTGGGTTTCATGTGCACACCACGCCACGCCACTCCACCTGGAGGGTGGGCGACCACAGGGCGTCTCTCATGGACTCCCTGGGCGCCTGCAGCCGCGTGTATCGGCTCTTAGACCTGCCGCACTCGCCACAGCTTGCAAAGGCGAGGTTAGGTCACGTATCACATGCCTAGCCTTACATGCATGCCACATGCCACATGGTGGGTGGGTTGGGCACTTACTGAGCGGCCCTTAGGACTCCATGTCCTGCCCATGCCATGGTCCCATCCCATATCCATAGCCCATGCAAACCCTTGTGCCTGATGCCTCCATGCGTTCACGCCTTGACTTGACGCCACAAGCTCATGTCTGTGTGCGCTGATCCCATCCCCTCCCCCTCCCTCCCCCCGCCCCCCCCCCGCCCACCGTGCGTGCTGCCAGGTTTACAGATGCCATGGCTGCAAGGCAAGATAGAGTTCCGAGATGTGTCCTTCCAATACCCAACCCGCCCTGAGGTGCGTGCTTTTCTTAAGCTTGCCTGCTTGGAGCCAACTTCATGGTTGCTTGGCGTGTCCTTCAAATGGCACGTCATAGATTAGCCTTGATCATTTTTTAAAGCTTCACAAAAGCGTCTACCAGGCATACGGCATGTGATGGGCAGAAAGGACCATTGTGTTTACTTCACACTCCTCTGGCACCTCCTGAACGCCCCTGAGCTGGCTTGATCTGTGAGAGTTTTCATTGTCTCCCTTTGGTTCTCCTGCAGGCTTCCGTGCTGTCCCATGTGAATCTGAGCATCAACCCCGGCGAGCTGGTGGCACTGGTGGCGCTGGTGGCGCTGAGTGGCAAAGAGATGACTGTTTCTCACCTCTTTGTATATCCTCATCTCACTTCAATCCACCCTTCCGTTCGCCCCTTATTCTTCCTGCAGGCCTCCGTGCTATCCCATGTGAATCTCACCATCAATCCCGGCGAGCTGGTGGCGCTGGTGGGGCTGAGTGGCAGTGGGAAAAGCACTCTCGTGGGGCTGCTGCAGCAGCACTATGAACCCACACACGGAGAGGTGAGGGGGGGGTTTGCAAGGTATCAAGAGTTAGGAGGGGTTTTGCACTGTTGTCCTCCCAGTCCCTCGTTTTCCCCACCCCCGTTCCACCTCCATTTCCCCCCCACCCCATGTTTCGCGGCTCCCTTCCCGAGTTTCACCCCTACCCTTTCCCTCCTCTCCCTTCTTTCCTGTCCAGATTCTTTTGGACGGTGTTCCTATAAAGGAGTTTGACACTAAATGGCTGCGCGGGCAGATGGGGGTAGTCAGCCAAGAGCCACGTCTCTTCAGCACAGACGTGGCAGCAAACATTTCGTATGGCTCGGGCAGCCGAAAAAAGAGCCACGAGGAGATCACACGCGCGGCCTGCGCGGCCAACGCGCACGATTTCGTTTCGGAGCTTCCCGAGGGGTACGCGACAGTGGTGGACAACTCGCGGCTGAGCGGCGGGCAGAAGCAAAGAATCGCGATTGCCCGGGCGCTGGTTCGTGACCCGAAGATACTGATTTTGGATGAGGCGACGAGTGCGCTGGATGTGGAAAGTGAGAGGAACGTGCAGGGGGCACTGGATGAGGCGATGAAGAGGGGGAAGAATGGCCGGCGCGATCGTACCGTCATTGTGATTGCACACAGGTGGGTGTGATTACACGCATCATGGTGTGTTGGAAATGGTGTTGTGACTGGTGTTGTGTGGTTTACTGACTGCATCGGCTGTTTCCGTATGTGCTGCTCTTCTTTTCTGTTGAATTATGCTTTTTCCATGCTCCAATTATGAACCCCAATCTCTGCTATTTTTCATCAGGCTGTCTACGATCCAGGCAGCAGACCGCATCGTGGTGATGGCTCATGGCAGGATAACAGAGGTGAGTGCTGCGCAAGTGTCCAATGTACACATCTGCATCATTCATTTAATTAGTTTGTTTTGTTTCTCCGATGGCCTGTTCGTTCAAACGATCATCAAGAAGTCAACATGATGCTGCCTTCTCGTTTTCGACATGAGTTGATAACGCCCTTCCATGATTCTGGTCTTGCTTACGGTATATTTGATGTTGTTATGCCAGGTGGGCACACATGCACAGCTCATGGCCAAGGGTGGTGAATACGCAAGGCTGGTGAACATGCAAGACCATACACCAGCATTCGCGATGCCTTGAAGGCCGCTCCTGATTTTGCCATGCTTTCTTTGGATATAAGGCTCCTGACGTTTCACCAGTGTATATAGCTGTCGGGGAATTGTAGCCAGCCTGCCTGATGTGGTATACTTTTGCTGGTAATCCTTTTTTTGGTTATGTTATCGTAGAGGGATGGTTTAACGCAAATGTACTTGTTTCGGTTTCGCAACAGTGTCGGTGTTCCCCCCCTCTCTTCATGAGTCAACTCCGCCATAATCTCAAACCAACCAAACCTGCCTGCTATCGAAAACACACTCCTTGATGGATGTCGTTTCCGCAGCATCTGTATCATCTCCCGATTCCCCCCAGTGGCCCCTCCCGTCACAACATCCCCGCACTCTCTGCCAGTCCGCCTGTTCCCCAGCATTTCTCCCCCACCTCTTACCTCTCACCTTCGTCCCCCTTCCCCGCTCATACCACCAAACCTCCCCCTTCTTTCAACACGCCCCCGCCGCTTCCCCCGAACCGGTGAGTCGTTCCGCCAACCCGTGTCGATTCAGCCAGCGCCATCCAACCCATCCATCCCTTTCCTTACCTGCCCAGCCAAAGCCTATCTGATTTCCTTGGTTCAAAAACAGCCATGGCTCCCAGCCCTAGCACATCGGTTCTACCAATTTCGTGCATTCCAAGGGTAGCCAGCTCTTATTGCAGTCTATCTTCACAGTGGAGGGTTACCTCGTGTCTCGCCACGTGGTGTTAGTATGTTCTTAGTCTCGCGTAGGTTTCGCGGGTTGAGCCAGTCTGACGTGTCAGGCCTTGAGGCCACGTGGTCTTTATCTGGAGGTAAAATACCAAGAGGCGTCAGGCGAACGTACATCTCCTCCATCGCAAGCTAACATGGAGTCACGCGCTTCGAGCACGCACTTGCTCTCCGCGTTGTTTCTCGACTCGGAATTGGTTCTTTAGTAAAAGGTACTGGCGCTATGAAGTATATCTGACGTTCCCGACGCGTGATCTTGGCTTGAGCCGTTCATACCCTTACCAGAACCTAGTCATCAGCGCGCACACGCGACGACACGATGTTCTTCCTCCGTCTCATGGTTTTCCAGCTGAATATCCGCCGACCATGTACCCTCCAACGAGAGCCCTACTCCTGCCGAAAGAATGAAGCCGTATCTCTTAATTAAATCAATGGCCCTCGGCGCTCGTCAATTCCTGGTCGAAGTCTCCGACCAGTCCAGTCCAGTCCCGTCCAGTTCGGTTCAGTTCGGTTCTGGCCGACCACGATCATTCACCCTCTAGCATCTCACTCCATTCTTGCGCGCTTGTCCCTCGTTGCGAGGAGAGTAAGTCACCTGCAGACCGGTCATTGCTCGCTTACCAGCAAGTTTCGAGTTTACTTTCCCGCCGGAGTAGGTTTTCCGGCTTCCGCCGGCCTTTCCCAGCCTTCTCCCCGCCTTCTCAACATTGTTTATGAGTTAGGCTCTGTACCGAACCAGTGAGTTAGACTCGGTGCTCATCGAAGGTAGTAGAGTAGGGCTAGGTGTCGCCAGCGACGCTCACCAGCGAACTGAGGAGCCACTGGCGACGACCGCTGGCGAAGAAGAGGGTTACGAGCAGCAATCGAGCTACGGCGCTAACGACATTCGCGAGCGACCATGTTCTGCTGTTTCGCGCGGCCCAAGGCGGGCGACGACGACAATGTCAACGACGACTATGCGACACCTGCGCCGCCCGCGCGGAACACCCCGCGGAAGCCCGCGCCTTCCGCCTCTTCCCCCGTCGGCGATGCCGGCGTGCGCGAATACGCTAGTAAAATGGCGGCCGCAGACGACCGCGTCGCCATGTCGTCAGTCGCCGTGTTACACGCCGCGCAAATTCGCAGCATTCGCTCGGAGAACGCCACTGGGATCAGCGGTGGCAGCGGCGCCCCCAGCGGCGGAGGAGTAGTAGGAGGAGGCGGCGGCGGTGTCGGCGGCGGCGGCATCACAGCAGCGCATGGCGGCGGCGGAGGTGGGTCGGGTCGGGGGGCTTCCCGAGATGCTTCGTCGAAGCCTCCTATAGCGACAGATAGAGGCAAGAGCCATATGGGGCCGGTAATCATGGCGGCCGGCCCGGGGCTAGGGTTTGGCGCATCGGGTATAGACATCAGACCAGGCAGCGGCGCAGGCGGCGGAGGCGGAGGGGGAGGTTTGGATGAGCGGCCGAGCAGCGCGGGACCGACGACGATACAGCAGCACATGCAGCACCACCAGCAGCTGCACCAGCACCAGCAGCACTATGCCGCAGCCGTGGGATCGCGCGCAGTGAACAGTGCCGGATCCGTATCGTATCTCAATGCCATGCCTGGGCGGCAGCGGATCGTTGCTTGGCTGGAAGAATCGGATCAGTCGTTTGCGACGGTAGACGAAACCACGAACGAACCCGTGCGACTCAGGTCCCCGCGGGGTAAGCAGGCGCAAGGGGAGGGGGACGGGGAGGGGGAAGGGGATGGGGAAAGCGGGCGGGACGGGAGCGCGGACGCAGCTGCTATGGAACGCCTGGGGCTCTTTCTTTCCAGCCTGCCCGCCGGGCAGTATGAAGACCGCGGCAGCCCCACGGCCGCGCCTCCGTCCGCCTCGGGGGAGTCCAGCGGCGGAGTTGGGGGTCCCAGCGGAGCGTGGAGCGCGGGAGGCGGAGCGGGAGGCAGCAGCAGCACGGGTACGCACGGGCAGTCGGGTTATTCCGCCATGGCCACTGCGGGTTCAGGTGCTACTGGCCCGAGTTACACCAGTCCGGGTATTCCAGGGGGAGGTTTTACTGGTGCAGGTTTATCTGGGGCGCGCAGGGCTTCCCCGAATAACTCCAAGCGGGACCTGCTTCCGCCCCCCGCGGGGGGCCATAGCGGGGGGGCGGGGGCCGGAGGTGGTAGTGGGGGGAATCCATTGGGGGGGAACCCGATGGCGCGGACGCGGTCGAGCCAGGAACCCGTGCGCCTGGTGCCCCAGATGGGCAGCGCGGAGGAGAGCGCACAGGCGGGCGCTGCGCCTTCCCCCCTCCCCGCTACTGCAGGCGCGCTGGGGGCGGGACCTAGTGGGGCGGGGGGAGGCAGAGGCGGAGCTGTGTTGGCGCCTTCATTGAGCTTTGCCAATGGGGTTGGTTCAGGCATGGGGGCAGTGGCGGCTGGTGGCGCAGGGGTAGGGGCTGGGACAGGAATGGGAGCAGGGGCACCCGTAGGGGGTGGGGGATGTACTGGCTCGGGTACTGGTGCTGCTGGTGGTGCAAGTGGGGCGAAGGAAAAGGAGAGCCTTCGCGTGCAGGCACTGAGTAATGCCATTCGGCACAACAGCCACGGCGGGGAGAAGGACAGAGACAGCTATAGAGACAAGGAACCCCTAGGCCGCTCCACCACTCAGTACTCAGAAGAAGGGGGGTCAGCAGCAGCAGTTGCCGGATCAGCTGTTGCTGCCACTGCTGGGTTCGGTGGGAGTGCGAGAGGCTTGGGAGGCGGTTTTGCTTCGGACACAGCTTCGGATACGGCTGCAGGGCAGGTGCATGGTATGAGGGATGGCAGCTTCCCCCCTTCTCCTGCTCCGGATAAGTCGTGGTATGCTGTGTCGCCATTGGTGGATTTTCACCCGGGGTCCAGCCCGCCGCCCCCTTTCATGCCCGGGCAGAGTCCGCTGAGAGATAGTGCTTTCAAGCTGCCCTTGCCTGCTGTGGGAGGGAATGGGGCAGGTAATTCCGGGCATGAGGGGTTAGGGGAGATTAGAACAGAGGATGGGCAGATAGGGGGAGGGGGTACGGGGGATGGAGAATTGTCTATGGATGGTGGAAAGGGAGTTGCAGCTGAGGGTTCATCTCACGAGGAGGCTCCTTGTTCCAAGAGTATGAATTAGGGCTACTGCCTGAGTTTCATTCCTTTGGAGGTGTGGAGATTGTGGAGATTGTTGTGATGTACGGTCAGTCATGAGTGCAGGGGTGGGAGGATTTTGCATTTGGGGTTGGTCAGTTGGTAGAAGGAAAGGAAATCATTATGTTGAGTATATTAGTCCATGTGTTCATTCTGCAATTGGGGTTGGTCAGTTGGTAGAAGGAAAGGAATCATCATTCTCCCTCATCTACTGCTGAATCCCTCATGCTAGTGTAAAACAAAGCTAGTAGTGTAAAAAAATCCCTTCAAACCATCGTTCACCCATTGAGAGTAAATAACTGGGCAGCGAGAAGTGCAGATAACTCGCCCTGCCGTTCGACAATTCGCCAGAGCGTAAACCACAAGCACCAACGAACCAAAAAGGAAAAACCATTTGACAATTCGCAGTTTGCATGCATCACGTCAGGTGGTCGTCCTCCTGCTCAGCGGGAGCATGGCGGTGGTGGTGGTCGGTTTGGGGGCAAATCAGAGCAGGATTCGGAAGATTATCGTCAATGCTTCTCTATTGGTGGAGGGGGGACCCTCATTGGGTCACTGCTGCAGCCTCTTGCTGTTGTTTGATGACCCACTCCACTCCACAAGAGCGAGGAGGTGACTGGGGGGCATGGCAGCAGTCGCACTGGGAGATGGATCTGCTTTCGTTTTCGGTCGCCCTGGCATTTCATGATTGTACTTTTCAGGTTGGGGTTGGGTTGGGGGTGCGCAGCATCGACGAATGCTGGGCGGCGTGAAAATTATTCAGCTAAGCAGGAGGATTAAATGTGGGAAGAGAGTTCGGCCTGTCTTTCAGTGGAAGGTTTTACAGGCTGCTCTCATCAATGTCCAACCACACGTGTCTACTTACGCTAAGTGGAGGCTTGATGATTTGAGCCCAGGACAAGAGCCTGAGCCCGGTACGGGTTCGTAAGCAAGTGAGCCCTGAAATCATATGGAAAATAAATATCTGACCCGTTTCTGGTAACCTGTCGTTTTTTGCAAGGTCCTGCCTGGTGGCAGACAGGCACTGCGTACGACTCTGTCCTCTAGTGCTGCCGAGCCGAACGACCATTCAAGAAGAAAGTACAAACGAACCGTGAATGTCAAACATCCGCACCTGGCGGTAAACCTTGGCCTGAGCTTCGGCGCAGGTATGACGACGCGTTTTTGTTCGGTATGGCTTCGGGCTTTTCCACACTTCCGCCTCTAATTACTGTACCCCGCCCCCTCTCCCCCCCTCCCCACCTCTCCCCCCCCCCCCCCCGAACCTCCTTCTGCCGGTATGTTTGCCCTTGAACCTTTGATCTTGTCCGTGGCCCTTGGGCTGCTCGAAGCTGCCCTTCGTTCGGGGTTCTTTCGAGTGGACCGCGCTCTGTTTCCGCAGACGCACACTGCCAGGCCAGTGTGGTGCATTTCTTCGTGCCGAAAACAGCAGCGTTTTCTTCAAATCGGGCAAAAGGTTGTTGACTGGTTCATTACAGTCAGCAGCACCAACAAACCGTGCCTGAACTCTGTAAAATGTACCTCACCGTACTTGACACCGGCTGAAGTTGGCCAGGCCATGCTATTCCCGTGCAGGTCAGTGATCTCTCATGATTCATCTCAACCACCCCACGTGGAGTGGGACTCGCCAGAAGGTACTCATGCTTGGCAGAGGTCTTAGCTTCTCCACCACTTATGGCTCAACAATAAAGCATTCGCAGGCGTATTTATGACCTGCGCTCACCAGTGTTAGAGCAGTGATAGTAAAGCATCTGATTGACGTTATTGTCCGATTAACTCGAGGTTTTTTTGGGTTGTGCGGGGCGAGAATAGTGTACGAATTAACGAGACTAGGGGAGATGTCAGCAGACTGTTGATATAATATTATTTACTCGCAGATGCTGTACTGGGCCAGCAGCGCGCGTCGAGAATTCATTGCTTAGATTCGAGGGAAGAAATCGATTTCGTAGTCGCCAGCGTCCCCGTAGTTCCCGAAAGAACTCGCTAGGCTTGGAGCAAAGCCTGATTTTTTTCGTTTCAGAAAGTTTTGACCGCATCGTAGTGCGAGTCGGGGCCCCTGCACCGGGGTACGCACCTTGTGTATACCAGCGAGAGTGAAACGAAGACATCAGATGACCGTTGCGAGTGAAACGAAGACATCAGATGACCGTTGCGAGTGAAACGAAGACATCAGATGACCGTTGCGAGTGAAACGAAGACATCAGATGACCGCTGCGGGCTTTTCAACATGTAACACGGATACTGGACAACGATTCACGCTTACACTAACGATGACATTAGTCGATCCGACGCGGGCTTCTAGTGGTTAAAATCAAGACACTTCGCAAATGACCCAACCTTACGCTGACGATTACAGTAGACCGACTGGTGCGGCCTTCTTAATTACTGATACGGACACTGTACAATGACTCACACATTACACTGACGATGACATTAGACTACCCGTTGCAGACAGTCTACAATGACTCGCACTTACACTGATGATGACATTACACTACCCGGTTCAAACACTGTACAATGACTCACACTTACACTGACGATGACATTAGCCCGTCCAGAGTGCTCAACCGCGTGTGTAAGTCGGAGCCGCGAATCACGGTGCAACCGCCGTCCGTGCTGATGCTGCACTCTAGAATCCTGCAGCAGCCGCAGCAGCAGCAGCAACTACCACTACCAGAAGAGGATAGCGAGCCTAGATACTACCAGTCGCCGGACAGTCTGCCAGATGGCATGTCGTCCGTACGATCCATGATGAACCCAGGAATCGACGGTTCTGGGAGAAGCGGGGGGGCCGGCGGTTCGGGCCAGCGCAGTCCAGCTATTCCGCGATCTTCGCGGTCCGTTGGCGGAATTGGAATCGCCGCCTTTGGCGGGGGGAAAGGGGGGCGGAGTAGCGGAGCGGTAGGGATTACCTCCGGCGTGTTAGGAAGCTCTGGCGGTGCGGCTGGATCTGACGAAGCGCGGTTTTATGATCCATACGGAGGCGCAGACGCGGCTTTTGGAAACGAATGGGAAACTGCCGAACTTGGCAAGGCGTCTCGGCGAGCAGCTTCGGACGGCGAAGCATCTGGTTTTGTTTCCAAACCTTCGAGTTTGATCCGGTCCCGAACCTTAGACGCAGATACGCTATGCGGGGAGGATGACGACGACCCTAATAACGCAGGCTCGGGATCCTCCCCAAGCAGGCCGTCAGGTCCGGATGGGCCGGTTGGGAATCCACGCCGCCGAGCCGAGCGATCAGGTGCGGGAAACAGGCCTGGAACAGGGTCGTACCTGCCGATATACCGACAGATTGGCGTTCCCCGTAGTTCCTCGCACGACCCCGCAAGTCTGTTCGCGCAGAAGCAGCATCACGCCGGGTTCACCGTGCAGGAGTGGGAAGAAGCGCTTAAAGACGGCAGCGGCGGGGACAGCAGCGGACCGCCAAGCGGCGGAACGGGCTTCGGGCGGAGCAACAGCGGAGGGGGCGGGGGAGGGGGAGGAAGGGCGGCTGGGAGCGCAGTCCCGCGCGGAGGCGGCGGAGCCTCGGGAATGCCGAGAGGCGGAGCTGGTGCGTCGCCGTTTTCCATTCAGGGGAAGGTGGTATCCGGGGCAGGGCGATCTATGATGATGCCTCCGCGCAACTCGTCCGTCCCCGCAGCGTTGCCCACGCATAAAGGCACCGCCACGGGACTGCAAGACTCCGCGCGCGGAGGCGGAAGGCAGCTCCGCGCGTTCGCATCCGCCGCGCCAGGGCGCATGGACGGCCCCGCTGCCCTGGGGTCGGAGCTGGGCCGGCGCGACTCGTACAACCTGATTCTGGACCAGTTTCTGTCAACAGACGGAAACGCTAGCGGCCCAGATTCGCCTGGTATGGGAATGGGTCCGGAGGAGAGGAGAGGACCGGCCGAAATTGGCGGGGGGGTGGAGTTACGTAGGGTTGTAACGACGGGGAGGCAGCAGAGGGCGGAAAGGGGTGGAGCGGATGTTTTGGTGGTAGAGTGCGGTGGAGATGGTGGGAACGCGGACGGGAGTGTGCACGGCGGAGGTAGGATGCATGGAGGGATTCGGCTGCATGGAAGTAATAGTTTCCACGGGCAACCGAGTAGCGGTGGTGCTGCTGGTGGGGGTTTCGATGGCAGCAGCAGCACAACAGCGCCCACTGCCCCTGCTGCTGCTGCCGCTTCTGGTGGTGCTGCGTCAGCAATAAGCCAGCCCCCCCACCACCCCGTGCACCACCCAGCATGTAGGCAATTCCCCCGTTCCTCTAGTGACAGCGGAAGGAAATCGTCTCCTAGTCGTCGGAGCCCTAGCAGCAGCCCCAGCCGCGGCGTGGGGACCATTGGCGGAAGCAACCTTGCGCCTCCCCCGCTCGTCTCCCCCCACCATCTCTTGGACGGGGGCGCCGGGCTGGGTATGGGTGGGCATAGCGCTGCGAGCAGCTGGACTGGCGAAGGGATGGGCGGAGGCGTTGTGGGGGGGTTTGGGGGAGCAGCAGCAGCAGGAGCAGGAAACAGTGTTCCGGTAGGGTTTGAGAAGCCAAGAGGGGTTTCGCCAACGAGAGGAGCTGGGTCTATTCTTGTAGCGTCGTCTGGTAGTCCCCTTCGCCATTCCTCCCCCTCACGCCGAAGCCTCTCGACAGGTGGCGCTTCGGGAGTGGCTAGCTGGAAAGGCAGCAGTAACAGCAGCGCCAGCATGGGAAACGGCAACAGCGGTGGTGGTGGCAGCAGCGGTGGCAGCAGCGGTTTCATCAGCAGCAGCAGTGGCAGCAGCAGCAGCGGCGGAGGATCAGGGCCCGGGCGAGGCAGCAGTACAGGTGGCAGCCACAGTGCCAGTTTCCCTATAAAGCAGTCCTCTGGCAGCCCTCCGTTGTTATCACAACAGGCACAGTCACAATCACCGCAGCAGCCGTCGCAGCAGCAGCAGCAGCTGATGCGTCAGCCACCCTTACAGCCACTGCCACAGCCGCAGTTTCCGCGGTTGGCGGGAGCAGGGGCAGGGGGGGGGAGTATGGCCGGGGGAGGGGGCACAGGGACATCGCACAGGAGAGGGAAGAGTGAATACGCCCTAAGTTCAGGGAAGAGGCTATCAAGGCAGAGCTCTGGATCTGTGGGGGATGGTGTGGATTACAGCAGCAGCTTTGAGAGCTACTCTACTGCTGCTGGCGCTGACGTGGCACGAGATGGCATGGACGGGGACTCGGACCACGGGCAGGTTAACGGGCAGCGGAAACTCCGGGGGCAGGCGCTGGGAGGGAGTGGGAACGGGAGGCAGAAACACAGGCGAGCGGTTAGCGATAACGAGTGTGCTCAACCAGGGGAGGTGGAGTCTGGGGAGGGGGAGGAGGGGGGAAGAGAGGGTGTGGGGGAGGGATGGGCGGATGGACAGGTAGAGAGGGGCATGGGAGGGAGGAGAGGGGGCGGAGAGGGTGGAACAATGCATGGGGGTGGTTGGGAAGAGGGGGGTGAAGATGGCGGGGCAGATGTTGGGGAGATTTCATTTGGGCGGCAGCAATCAGTGGCGGAGATAGGGGGGAGTTGCGGAGGCATGGGGGGAAGGGACGGGGAAAGGGCGGGGGAAGGGGGAGGGGAAGAAGACGGGGGAGGGGAGGAGGAGGAGAGTGACTCAGGCAGTGTGGTGGAGTGGGCTCTGGCAGGCTCGCCACAGAGCATCTCGGCTGTAGCAGAGGCGGCAGAAGGGGGGAGGGGAGGTGGAGGGGGTAGGGACGCGGAAGGAAGCTTCCTCCGCAGAGGCAGCGGCGGTAGAGCAGTAGCAGCAGCGGCAGCAGCAGCAGGGGGAGGAGCAGGGGGGGGGGGCAGGGGGAGGGGCAGGGGGAGGAGCAGAGGGAGGAGCCCAGGGGGGCATGGGTAGAGCGACAGGGGGAGGAACAGGTGGGGCCGCTTCAGCTGCAGGAGAGGGGGAGGGCGTATCTGGAGCAGGCGCATCTGGAACTCATCCCGTTTGGGGCGGCTTTCCGCGTCTCAACGTGGAGATTGCGAGCCTGCAGTCGTTCTCAGATGAGGACAACCCCAGTAACCGGAGTGTGGGATCGCTGCAGGGCATGGGCAGTGGGCGGGGTGTGGGCAGCGAACAGGGCATGGATAGCGCTCAGAGCAGCTTACTGAACAGCAGCTTGGGAAAAGGAGCGGGCGGAGGGGTTGGAGAGGGTGCGAGGCGGTGGGTACGGGGTGGGAGAGAGGGGGGGGTAGAGGTGGGAAGGGGAAGGGGGAGGGAGAGGCGCGGGAAGGGGAGGAAGGGAGTGAGATTTTACTCTGAATTGAGGTCTCCGTTGGGTAGGCGAGGGTCGATGAGTGGGAGAGTGGAGACGCCGCGAGGGGTGGTGGGGAGAGGTGGGAGTGAGAGGAGAAGCAGAGGAGCGTATAGGTGCAGGCATTGTCGGGAGGAGGAGGAAGAGGAGGAGGGGGAAGAGGATGGGGAGGGGGAGGAGGTGGAGGAGGATGAGGAAGAGGGATGTGAGGAGGGGTGTGTGTACGAGGAGGCGGGTAGGGGCAGCAGGGAAGGGGGGCGGAGGAAGAAAGAGGAGGGGAGGGTGTTCATTGGGAGGGTGTTTAATGTGTTACGGCGGCCCATGAGGGCAGTGGGCAAGCAGTATGCGTTGACTGCGGACGACTGGCTTGACTACGACCCCCCTGGAGATGCGCTGCTGAGGCGGTGCGTGCACCGGGCGTCTGGCACTCAGCTCATGTGCCGCACGATTTCCAAGCAGAGCATTCGGGTAAGGCGTGAGTAACCAGGTGGGTGGGTGAGTGGTTGACTGCGGACGACTGGCTCGACTACGACCCCCCTCAAGATGCGCTGCTGAGGCGATGCGTGCACCGTGTGTGTGGCACTCCTCTTACCTGCCGCACCATCTCCTAGCAGAGCATTCGGGTGAGTGGACGAGCAGGTGGGTGGGAGTGTCAGGCAGGCACAATGGTGGGTTGAAACAATCTGGCATTCCCACAATGGCATTTGGTCAGGCTGCTCACATGCCATCTGTTTCACCCACCCTTCCCCCCCTGCTCGATTCGCAGCAGCAGGCGGAGGCCATCGGGTCGGGGTGAAGGTGGCAGTGTTGGAGGTGCTGCAGCCGAGGAGACTATAGAAGGTCCACTTTTGACTCTTTCTCTCTCCCTCTCGCTCATCTTCCACCCTCCTCCCAGTCGCAGCAGCAGGCGGAGGCCATCGGGGTGGAGGTGGCAGTGATGGAGGTGCTGCAGCCGCATGCTCACATCGTTGGGCTCAGAGACAAGTTCGAGAGCCTCACGGTGAGCGTGTTTCCGTGGTGGGCATTTGATTCTACACCCCATAGCGCGTCTCTCTCTACATGACCGCATGCGCCACCACCATTGCCATAACTCTGACACGCATAAATTCCTTTTCTTCTTCTTCTTCTTCTTCTTCACCGTCCTCCCATCCCCACCCCACTATCCTTCTCCTCCTCTTACCCTCCCAGTCCGTGCATCTCATACTGGAACCCATGGCGCGCCTCTCTCTGCACGACCGCATGCGCCACCACTACTGAGGGCAGCGGGTGGCAGTTCCTTGCATTCCCCTGCCTAATCTCTCCCCCCTCTCCCCCCTCTCCTCTCCCCCCTCCTCCACCTCCCAGTCCGTGCATCTCATACTGGATCCCATGGCGCGCCTCTCTCTGCACGACCGCATGCGCCAGCACGGCCCCATCCCTCAGCACCACGCAGCACCGCTCTGCCTCGCGCTGCTGCACGCGCTGCACCACTGCCACTCTCAGGGCGTGGCCCACCGTAACCTCACGCCCCATGCTGTCGTGTTTCCCACTGATGACAGCCCGCTGGGGGATGCCCGGCTGAGTGGATTCGAGTGGGCAGCGTTTGTCACCCCAGGTATGTTCTGCTTGCCTGCGCCACCCTGTAGCGCCAGTCTGTAGCGCCAGCCTGTAGCGCCACCCTGTAGTGCCAGCCTGTAGCGCCGCCCTGTAGCGCCAGCCTGTAGTTTGGGAGATGGCTGGCTGTGTTAGGTTGGGTTTCGCTGTGTTAGCCTGGCAACCCAGGTTGGTCCCGCTTGGACCAGTGGTTGATCTGCCAGTCACCTGACAATGAGACTCACACACTCACCCTCAACCTCACGCCCCATGCTCCCTTTCCATCTCTCTCCCACTAGCCCAATCCCTCCTCTGCTGGATTCCCTGCAACCATCCCATGCACACTGCTCTCCCCGTCCCCTCCCCCTCCCCCTCCGTTTCTCCTCCTCCCGTCCCCAGGAGTGCCGTTCTCAGACCCAGTAACACCGCCCTTGTTTGCAGCACCCGAAGTGCACGCGGGGATGTACGGCACACAGGCCGACCTCTGGTCGCTCGGGGTCCCCCTCTTCCTCCTCCTCGGCTCTGCTGGGTGCCCTTCAACCATCCCACGCACACTGCTCTCCTCGTCTCCCCCTCCTTACCCGTCCCCTCCGCCTTCTCCTCTGCCTCCCCTTCCCGCTCCCCTTCCTGCTTCCCCTTTTCCCCTCCCTCCCTTCTCAGGAGTCCCCTTTTCAGACCCAGTGTCCCTGCCCTTGTTCGCGGCACCGGAGGTGCACGCGGGAAGGTACGGCACACAGGCCGACCTCTGGTCCCTCGGGGTCCTGCTCTTCCTCCTCCTCTGCGGGGTCCCGCCCTTCTGGGCGGCCACGGGCGGCGGGATTCGGCGGGCAGTGCAGCAGCAGCAGGTGGCGTTCCTGTCGCCCCGGTGGAAGGAGGTTTCCGATGAAATGAAGCAGCTGCTGCTGATGCTGCTCGAGAAGAATCCTTCCGACCGGCTCACAGCCGCCGAGGCTCTAGGTATGTGCATCGTTGCGTCTGAGGTGGTTTCTCTGTGCCCTCTAGGATCTTTTGGGCGTCCACTGGGGAGGTGATTCAGTGAGCAGCGCAGCAGCAGGTGGCGTTCCTGTCGCCCAGGTGGAAGGAGGCTTCTGAAGAAATGAAGCAGCTGCTGCTGATGCTGCTGCTTGAAAAGAAGCCCCCAGACTGTATTTGAGAATTCTCAAAAACACCCTGCAGCAGATGAAGCAGCTGCTGCTGATGCTGCTCGAGAAGAACCCTTCAGACCGACTCACCGCCGCCGAGGCTCACTCAGGTATGTGTGCCCCGGTGGTTACTCTGTTCCCCTAAGTGATCTTTCTCCTTCTGGGCACCAGCAAGGGAGGGGTGGGGATGGGGGTGGCGGGCAGTGCAGCAGCAGCAGGTGGCGTTCCTGTCGCCCTGGTGGAAGGATGTATCAGATGAAATGAAGCTGCTGCTGCTGCTGCTGGAGAAAAGATATAATTGGAGAATTACAGGAGCTGAGGTTCAGGGTATGTGTTCCACAGAAGGTATCTCTTTCTTCTCTCGGTGATGTTTCTTCATCTGCTGCTCACAGCAGGGGGGCTTCAGCATGCAGTGCAGCAGCAGCAGGTGGCGGTCCTGTCCGCCAGGCGGAAGGACGTTTCAGATGAGATGAAGCAGCCGCTCATGCTGCTGCTGATGCTGCTGCTCGAAAAGAACCCCGCAGACCGGCTGACAGCTGCTGAGGCTCTAGGTATGTGCGCCTGAGGGAGCGGTTTCTTTGTGCTCTCAAGATGACACTGCTGCTGCTGCTGCTGCCGCCGCCGCCGCCGCCGCCGTCACCGCTGCTGCTGCTGCTCGAAAAAACTTTTGAGGCGCCTCAAAAGTCGGATGACAGCTGCTGAGGCTCTAGGTATGTGCGCCTGAGGGAGCGGTTTCTTTGTGCTCTCAAGATGACACTGCTGCTGCTTCTCCTCGAGAAAAATCACTCAGGAAGAAGACTCATGGCCTCTGAAGCGCTAGGTGAGTGTGTCTGAGGTGCTTTCTCTGTGCCCTCAAGGTTCGTCTGGTCACCCGACCCGAGGTGGCAGTGATTTCAGCATAAAGTGCAGCAGCAGCAAGTGGCCTTCTTGTCCCCCAGGTGAGTGCCTCAAAACTCACCTCAGACCCACTCACCTAAGTATTGAGGGTTCTTTGGTGTCTAGGCTCTCTTGGTGAGTGTCTCTGGAGGTGGTGCATACCCTGAAGCTCTAGCTAAGTGGTACTCGTGGTTGATATTGCCTGCATTTCGTATTCTTCTCGAATTTATCGCTAGGTAAGTGGTGTCTGTGGGTGAAATCAAGTTTTTAGATGTCTCAAAACGAGCCAAGTGGTACCTGGGGCTGAAATTGCACGCAGTGTTTCCTTCAGTCTTTTGTTTGTTTCCTCCAGTCTTTTGTTTGTTTCTGACTGCTGTTTTCGCTGAAGCTGCTTCTTGTCTTTTTGCGACGGCTCTCCTCTGCAGAGCATCCAGTGTTCACACGAGTGGCAGCATCAGAGGAGGGTACACCATGACTCATGAGTCAGGATCTTGATCTTGGCGCGAGAGGAGCTGTAACCAATGACAGGCCGACAGCTCATCACCTGGCGGCATTTGAGGAGGGTACGCCATGATTCATGAGTCAGCATCTTGATCTTTGCACAAGAAGAGCTGTAACCAATGACAGGCTGACAGCTCATCTCGGTGACTTTTGAGTCAACTCAGAAGTCACCTGGCGGCATCAGAGGAGGGTACACCATGAATGATAAGCAGCCGTGCAGCAGATGCCGCATGGAGAACGGGAGGGTACACCATGAATGATATGATTCATGCGTCAGGATCAACGACACCAGGATCGTGGCGCAAGAGGAGCTGTAATCAACGACGGCTTGTCTCGTCATCACTTGCCATAAGTTTGACGACGCTGCGCCTCTGGTCACTCACCTGCTCTTGATCCATGCAGGCAGCCTCAACGGTACCATCTCCTGGAGTGTATTACTACTGCAACTCACTCACTATATAAAGTGTGCCGATCCAACTAACATAACGTGGAGCCTGATATCTAATGTCAACGTGGTGGGCAGGGTAGGACTGTGCATCCTTGTAATATATTGATGTGAATGTATCGAGTGAAAGGATATCTGGGTCATGATTGGGGTGTGACAGCAGGCGGAAGGTTGTTGAACTTCGGGTAAAAGAAGGTTTGGTTCCCAATACTTGGATATGTATCAGACAGAAGGACATGTACTGAAACCAGGAAAGCTCTTACACTTCAAATACAGCAACTTTTCACAAAGCCACAGGGATGATACAAGCCAGCTTTAGTTCATGACCTAGACATTCAATTGTCATGTTCAGTATCCTCCTTGTGGTCAGGTGAGGCGGTTGGCACGTGCATTGCTGGTCCTGCTAGCACGGCTGGCATGGCTGGCACGGCTGGCGCTGCTGCTGTTGCTGTGAGCGCTGAACTTGCTGTGAATGAAGCCGATGCCAGACCCACCGCCACCACCGTTGCCATTGCCATTCCCATCACCGTTTCCACCACCGTTGCCATTGCCATGAATGCCAGACCCACCACCACCGTTGCTGCCACCACCACCATTGCTGCCACCCCCTCCATTGTCGCACCCGCAGCAACAATAGCAGCAGCACCCGTTGCCGTTGCCGTTCCCAGTGACGGTGACGTCGTTGTTATCACCACCGTTGCCATTGCCGTTACCACAACCGTTGCCGTTGCCGTTGCCACAGCAGCAGCAGCAGCAGCAGCAGCAGCAGCAGCAGCAGCAGCAGCAGCAGCAGCAGCCATTGCCGTTGCCGTTGCCATTCCCGTTGCCGTTGCCATTCCCGTTGCCGTTGCCATTCCCGTTGCCGTTGCCATTCCCGTTGCCGTTGCCATTCCCGTTGCCGTTGCCATTCCCGTTGCCGTTGCCATTCCCGTTACCGTTGCCATTCCCGTTACCGTTGCCATTCCCGTTGCCGTTGCCACAGCAGCAGCAGCAGCAGCAGCAGCCATTGCCATTGCCGTTACCATTTCCGTTGCCGTTCCCATTCCCGTTGCTGTTGATGCTGTTGTGATCATTACCGTTGCCATTGCCGTTACCACAACCGTTGCCATTGCCGTTGCCACAGCAGCAGCAGCAGCAGCAGCAGCAGCCATTGCCGTTGCCGTTGCCATTCCCGTTGCCGTTGCCATTCCCGTTGCTGTTGCCATTCCCGTTGCCGTTGCCATTCCCGTTACCGTTGCCATTGCTGTCACCACAACCGTTCCCGTTGCCGTTGCCACAGCAGCAGCAGCAGCAGCAGCAGCCATTGCCATTGCCGTTACCATTTCCGTTGCCGTTCCCATTCCCGTTGCTGTTGATGCTGTTGTGATCATTACCGTTGCCATTGCCGTTACCACAACCGTTCCCGTTGCCGTTGCCGTTGCCACAGCAGCAGCAGCAGCAGCAGCCATTGCCATTGCCGTTGCCATTTCCGTTCCCGTTCCCATTCCCATTGCCGTTGCCATTCCCGTTGCCGCTGATGCTGTTGTTATCGTTACCGTTGCCATTGCTGTCACCACAACCATTCCCGTTGCCGTTGCCGTTGCCGTTGCCACAGCAGCAGCAGCAGCAGCCATTGCCATTGCCGTTGCCATTTCCGTTGCCGTTCCCATTCCTGTTGCCGTTGATGCTGTTGTTATCGTTACCGTTGCCATTGCCGTTACCACAACTGTTCCCGTTCCCGTTGCCGTTGCCGTTGCCACAGTAGCAGCAGCAGCAGCAGCAGCAGCAGCCATTGCCATTGCCGTTGCCATTTCCGTTGCCGTTCCCATTCCCATTGCCGTTGCCATTCCCGTTGCCCCTGATGCTGTTGTTATCGTTACTGTTGCCATTGCTGTCACCACAACCGTTCCCGTTGCCGTTGCCGTTGCCACGGCAGCAGCAGCAGCAGCAGCAGCCATTGCCATTGCCGTTGCCATTTCCGTTGCCGTTCCCATTCCCGTTGCCGTTGATGCTGTTGTTATCGTTACCGTTGCCATTGCCGTTACCACAACTGTTCCCGTTCCCGTTGCCGTTGCCATAGCAGCAGCAGCAGCAGGAGCGGCCATTGCCATTGCCGTTGCCATTTCCGTTGCCGTTGCCATTCCCATTGCCGTTGCCATTCCCGTTCCCGCTGATGCTGTTGTTATCGTTACCGTTGCCATTGCTGTCACCACAACCGTTCCCGTTGCCGTTGCCGTTGCCACAGCAGCAGCAGCAGCAGCCATTGCCATTGCCGTTACCATTTCCGTTGCCGTTGCCATTCCCGTTGCCGTTGCCATTCCCGTTGCCGTTGACGCTGTTGTTATTGTTCCCGTTGCCGTTGCCGTTGCCGCAGCAGCAGCAGCCATTGCCATTGCCGTTACCATTTCCGTTGCCGTTGCCATTCCCGTTGCCGTTGCCATTCCCGTTGCCATTGACGCTGTTGTTATTCTTACCGTTGCCATTGCCGTTACCACAATCGTTCCCGTTCCCGTTGCCGTTGCCACAGCAGCAGCAGCAGCAGCCATTGCCATTGCCATTTCCGTTGCCGTTGCCATTTTCATTGCCGTTGATGCTGTTGTTATCGTTGCCGTTGCCATTGCCGTTACCACAACCGTTGCCGTTGCCACAGCAGCAGCAGCAGCAGCAGCCATTGCCGTTGCCATTGCCGCCGTCACCACCACCACCACCGCCACTGCCCCCATCTTCACCCCCCATGTGAAGCCACGAGGCCACAAGCGACTAGATGCCACCAACGCCCCCATGGTCACCGCCATTCCCACCGTGCCCACCATCATTTCCTCCAAAGCTGGTGGCAGTGAGACGAGAGGCGAGAGGGTCAACGGGCAAGGGCTGTGGTGTGGAGGTGCTGAGCAGCTGAGACTCAACGGGTAAGGGCAAGGATAGTTGTGTGGTGGAGCTGAGCAGGTTGGTGGCAGTCTGAAGAGAGGTAGGAGAATCAACAGGCAAGGGCTGTGGAGAGGAGGAGCTGAGCAGGCTGCGATGTCTGAAAACGAGCGACTTGGTTTCCATGGCGTCGCTTGCAGCTTCAGACACTGCGGCTTCACTTGTCGTGCCAGCTGTCCCTGCCAGCTTGTCATGAGATGCCACGGCCAGAGATGTGCCTGGTAGAGACGCCGGAGTGGAGAAAAGAGTGTATACTTTGAGGCCTATGTATACTATTATGCAAATGAAACAGATTGCAAAGGCTAGAAGCACGTGAGATTAAGCGCCGGAAACCAAACGGATTTCAAGCTTGACATTGTTCCGACAGGACGCATGTGGTAGTTAAAGCTGAGCTGAATCAGACTCACCGAAGAAAAATAGCGCGAAAACGACCGTTGGAAACAACCAGACGAGTCGCAAACGCAGGTTGGTTGACGCAGCGGAAGCCATGGCTGTTCTTTAAGCTAGAACGGCTTACGCAGGTTGATCTTTGGCTCGAATGCAAGCTGAACAGACCTGAACTGAAGAACGACGCATTCCGTCAATTTATAGCTCTTGAGAGACCTACTTCGCACCAGCAGGCTTTCCCTTTCGAGTGTTCCCATAGCGCGGCTCCGTGACAGGAGCAGGGATTCAGAGGACAAACGGAACGGCACGGCGTCCGTCACCTCATCCTGGGAAATTGGGTCGCGAAATTCTGTTTGACGGGACGCCATGGCGGACTTCCGCGCATCACAGCGTCCCGTCACGGCATCCCATTCGTGAAGCAGAAAATGTTCCAAAAGCATTGATGCGTAACTTCCGTCACTCTCGCTCTACTTGAGAGCAACCGTCCCATCATCCTGCAATTTGGCTCGAAAACGCCAGTTGTGCTATCATCGCGAAACCACTGGCGACCGAGAAGCAATCCTTTCCGGCCCCGTAAGCGCTACGTACGAAGTCTGTGTCTAGGAGATTTCCTGGTTCAGTTTGCAGTCACGTCAACCAGCTTCGTACCTTCCAGCCACGCCTCTGAACGAAGGCCAGTTACGAGAATGAGCAAGAGGTAATGGAGGGGGGGTCAGGCGAGGATAAGGGGAGGATAAGGGGAGGAAGGTGTTGGGTATGGAGGATATCTGAAATATAAAGAAGGATTGAGAGGGATTGAGAACGACCAGGAGGGGTTGGAGATTCAGCTCTGCAGGAGCATCAATATGCTGTCGTTACACGGATCCGGATTTTGGAATTGGCAGGAGGGATTCCGTTCAGTTCTTGTTGCTCCGCGGCAACCCCCAACCCACAAGGAGCCGCAGCGCTCTTGAAGTTAGACGCTCCAGCCACTTTTTGGCGAATTCGGAACACTCAAAGACGTACTGGCGAAACGATGTGCGATCAGCTTGAGATATCTCGCGAAGCACTTCCTCGTTTTTTCACACGAATGTCAATGACACGACCATGGTATTTCGACAAGTGACCCAAGTACACCACATTTGAAGGCACTAGAGTTGGGCTATACAAAAATAAAGTTACAAAATGCTGGCTGTAACTACAGAACCATTCTCCACATAACCATACAGACACCAAAATTCGACCAATCACAGCACAGTACTGTGCTAGACTGTATAGGGTATCACTAGCCGCTTCCTTACAACCGCCATCACATCCATAGGCTCTTTGCTTCTTGTTGCCGCCACAACGGGCACGGATGGAATTGGATAGCAAGCATGAAAACTCAGCGAGTTGCAGTAGACGTGCTCGTCCCATATCATACCAGCAATGCTGCGAATGCCGTTATCACACTCCAACCCCCACCAATCACGCCTGCACCACTCGTTGCTGGCGGCGCTGGGAGCGCAGGAAGAGAACGGCAAGCAGGAGAGCGAGGAGCGAAGCGATGTAGGCGTTGGTGTCGTCCCTCAGGGCCGCCTTCAATGCCCCCGCCGTGGCTGGGCCGATCTCAGGCAACACATCCAATGCCTTGGACTGAGAGGAGGGGGGATGAAGGGGAAAGGGGAGGCGGGGAGGGGCAATGTATGGATTAGTGTTGTCCCTCAGGGCCGCCTTCAATGCCCCCGCCGTGGCCGGGCCGATCTCAGGCAACACATCCAATGCCTTGGACTGGAGGGGTTGAAGAGGGGAAGGGTGGGGAGAGAGGGGAGTGGGAAAGGGGCAGATGGGTGAGTGGAGCAAGGGTAGTAAAGCATAAAGCACACTCAAAGCAGTCCCTTCACAAGAGAGTAGAGCTCAAACTGCGTTCTCAGACAGAGTCCCAAAGGTTAGATCCCACGAGCCTTTATTGCACCAGAGATAGGGCTTACTTCATCAAGCCCACCTATTTCAAGTCCATAGAAGGCTAAAGAGACTCACCACAAGAGGGTAGTGCCCATACTGCATGCGCAGCTACAGGCCAAAGAGGGTCGTGGTCACAAGCCGAACGGCGCTAACTTACAGCCCACCTATTTCTAAAGCAGACTCACCACAAGAGGGTAGTGCCCATACTGCATGCGCAGCCAGAGGCCAACAGGGCCGTGCATACACCTATTGCATACACCAGCCAGAGGCCAACACGGCCAACAGAGCCATACTGCATGCACCTATTTGTAATGCAGACTCACCACAAGAGGGTAGTGGCCGTACTGCATGTGCAGCCACAGGCCGAAGAGGGCGATCTTGAGGCGTGTCAAAGCTCAACTTGTATCACGTCACGTGGCTAAGCTCACCACACTCTGAAGCAGACTCACCACAAGAGGGTAGTGGCCGTACTGCATGCGCATCCAGAGGCCGAAGAGGGCGATTCTCACCGGCACCACTGCCCGGGGGAAGGCATCAAGAACCTGGGGTGGGGTGAGGGATGCAGAAGGAAAGGAGCGGGGGAGGGGAAAGATTTGATTTGGAAGGAGTTGGACTCCAGCTGGGCAGCCTCATGCCATGCTCGTGCATGAATCCCAGGTTGAACATGGCGTGTGCATGAATCCCAGGTTGAACATGGCGTGTGCACTGCCACTTGTACTCCCATATGCACATTTACACACACCTACCTACCTGGTCATAGAATCGTTTCGCTAGATGGAGATACAAACGATTCTCGTTTAGCCCGTGCCGTGCTCGTTTCACCTGGGTAAGCCCGTGCTGTGCTCGTGCATAAACCCCAGGTTGAACATGGCGTGTGCACTGCCACTTGTACTCCCATATGCACATTTACACACACCTACCCACCTGGTCATAGAATCGTTTCGCTAGATGGAGATACAAACGATTCTCGTTTAGCCCGTGCCGTGCTCGTTTCACCTGGGTAAGCCCGTGATGTGCTCGTTTTACCTGGGTAAGCCCGTGCTGTGCTCGTGCATAAACCCCAGGTTGAACATGGCGCGTGCACTTCCCCTTATACTTCCACCCCAACCGTACCTGGTCGTAGAGCTGCTTAGCCAAATGCAGGTCTCTGGGCAGCCCCATGCCATGCTCGTGCATGAACGCCTTTTTTCCTTGCTCCCAGCCACACCAGGCACCAGGCACCATGCACCATGCACCATGCACCATGCACCATGCACCATGCACCATGGCACCATGCACCATGCACCATGGCACTGCCCCATACCTGGTCATAGAGCCGTTTGGCCAGATGCAGGTCTCTGGGTAAATCCATGCCGTGCTCGTGCATGAAGCCCAGGTTGAACACGGCGTGGGCACTTCCCCTTATGCGCCCCACCATGCTGCCCCTTATGCGCCCCACCATGCTGCCAATTCCACCATGCTCCCACCCACAAACATACCTGGTCATAGAATCGTTGGCCAAATGCAGGTCTCTGGGTAGTCCCATGCCATGCTCGTGCATGAACCCCAGGTTGAACATGGCGTGTGCACTGCCCTTCTCCCTCGCCCTCCAGTACGCCTCTGCTGCTCGCTGCAGGTCCCGCGGCTGGCCCTGTGGGATGGGCGGGTGGGGGTGACGATGATTGAACAACTTTGGAGTTGACTCAAAGTTCAAGTCGATGCAAAAGCCAGTCAGACAAGTGTGACTGAGCAAGCAAGGAATCCTTTCGCGTCAACTGACCCGGCCATAGAAGAAAGCATCACCCAGCAGCAATGCTGCCTACACGCTGCCCTGCTCTTCTGCTGCTGAGGCAGCTCTTTGTGATTGAGCAACAAATGTGAGCAAACAATCCTTCTTCTCAACTCAAGCCAGCAATCTCACTCACCCGGCCATAGAAGAAAGCATCACCCAGCAGCAATGCTGCCTATACGCTGCCCTGATCTTCTGCTGCTGAGGCAGCTCTTTGTGATTGAGCAACAAATGTGAGCAAACAATCCTTCTTCTCAACTCAAGCCAGCAATCTCACTCACCCGGCCATAGAAGAAAGCATCACCCAGCAGCAATGCTGCCTATACGCTGCCCTGATCTTCTGCTGCTGAGGCAGCTCTTTGTGATTGAGCAACAAATGTGAGCAAACAATCCTTCTTCTCAACTCAAGCCAGCAATCTCACTCACCCGGCCATAGAAGAAAGCATCACCCAGCAGCAATGCTGCCTACACGCTGCCCTGATCTTCTGCTGCTGAGGCAGCTCTCTGTGAGCGAGCAACAAATGTGAGCAAACAATCCCTCTTCTCAACTCAAGCCAGCAATCTCACTCACCCGGCCGTAGAAAAAGGCATCACCCAGCAGCAGCGCTGCCTGCCTGCACGCTGCCCTGCTCTGCTGCCAGCTGCCACAGGTGCAAGTGTGAGAAAGCAAGCATACCTAGCAGAGACTCACCCGGCCATAGAAGAAAGCATCCCCCAGCAGCAGCGCTGCCTGCACGCTGCCCTGATCTTCTGCCAGCTGAAGCAGCTCCCTCTATGCTCGAGCAAAATGTGTGAACAAGCAAGCATATAAGTAAGGACTCACTCGACCGTAGAAGAAGGCATCACCCAGCAGCAGTGCTGCCTGCACGCTGCCCTGCTCTGCTGCCAGCTGCCACAGTCGGTGCGACCTCTCATGCCTCTCCGCCTCACTGCACCGCCTCCAACCCCTCCTGCCGCTAGTGACACTATCCTTACTCCGCTCCTGCTGTTCCTTCTGTCCCTTCTGTTCATTCTGCTCCTGCTGCTCCTCCGCTCTGCCTCCCTCCCCTTGCACTACCCCACCGCCTTCTAATTCATCCCCTTGAGACGGTTCCCCACCTGTAGCACCGGCCTCTGCACCTCTTGACCCCTCTCCACACTTGCTGACCCCTCTCCACCCACTGCGTTATTCTCATCGCTTGCAACCCCATCTGTAGCTTCCCTGTCTTCTGAACCGCTTCAGGTGAAGCAGAGGAAGCAGAGGAAGATGAAGTGGCAGTGCTGGTGGCGTGTGCCTGCGAGGAGCGCCCACACACGCATTGTCCAGCACCGAGTCACCCACCACCTGCACGCAATGAACCATGGTGCAGAAGGGTTCGGATTGGTGCAATTGGGCGGTCAGCAAGAGGCTTAAGGAGCGCCCACACACGCATTGTCCAGCACCGAGTCACCAACCACCTGCACACGCATTGATGGTGCAGAAAGAAACGAATGGTGCAAGGGGACAGTTCGGATGGTGCAAGGGGACAGTGCGTTTACAGCAGATGGTGCATTGGAGTCTCACTGGTGGGACGGCTTTAGATGTGTTTTTTGAGGCGCCTCAAAAGATGTAGATGTGGGTTCCCTCTGGTGGGATCCATCCATCACTGGGGAACCCAACCCACCAGGGACGGGAACATGGGGGGGGGGAGTCTCACCTTATCTTATCCAGAAGCCAGGCGGCATTCCCCTGCGCCACTTCACACCCCAACTCGGCAGCTCTAGAATAGAACATCCACGACGTGGCCACATCACCGATGCAGGCAGGCTAGACGGTAGGGGGAGAGGACGAGGGAGAGGACTGAGAGAGGACTTAGGATTAGCAAGGGGGAAAAGGGGGAGGGGGTCTCACCTTATCTTATCCAGAAGCCAACGGCATTCCCCTGCGCCACTTCACACCCCAACTCGGCACTCTAGAATAGAACATCCACGACGTGGCCACATCACACGAAGCAAAGTGATGAACGCACTTAGACAACTGAACAATGAGAGTGTGGTGGGGAGAGGAGAAAACACCCGCCTTATCCAGTAGCCAGGCCGCGGTCCCCTGAGTGACTTTTGATCGACTCAAAAGTCACCTCGAGAGTGTGGTGGAGAGGAGAAAACACCCGCCTATCCAGTAGCCAGACGAGATGAAGAAGAGTTTTGAGACGTCTCAAAACTCTTCTTCAATCACGTGACAACTGAACAATGAGAGTGTGGTGGGGAGAGGAGAAAACCCGCCTTATCCAGTACCAGACGAGATTGAAGAAGAGTTTTGAGACGTCTCAAAACTCTTCTTCAATCACGTGACAACTGAACAATGAGAGTGTGGTGGGGAGAGGAGAAAACACCTGCCTTATCCAGTAGCAGACCGCGGTCCCCTGAGCCACTTCATTCCCCAACTCCGCTGCTCTCAAGTAGAGCATCAGTGACGTTCCCATCGTACACAGCCAGCCAGGTGAAGTGGGAGATGAGAGGACAAGGATAGGTGAGGGAGAAGGGAAAGGATTCTCACCTTATCCAGCAGCCAGGCGGCATTCCCCTGTGCCACTTCATACCCCAACTCCGCAGCTCTCGAGTAGAGAGCATCGACGACGTCCCACCCACATCACAAGAAGCGGGCCAGGCCGCGGGGGAACGTGTAGAGACAACTGCATTCCCCCGAGAGTGTGGTGAGGTGAGGATAAAACGCCTACCTTATCCAGCAGCCAGGCGGCATTCCCCTGTGCCACTTCATACCCAAACTCCGCAGCTCTCGAGTAGAGCATCAGCGATGTGCCCACATCACAGGACGCAGGCCAGGCGGACGGGGAGGAAGAGGAGGAGGAGGAGCGGAGGGAGGGGGGGAGAGCGGGGAGGAGAGCGAGAAGGAGAAGGAGAGGGAGAAGGGAGGAGGAGGAGGCGGAGCGGGAGAGGGACCAGAGGGAGGGGCCTTGGGTGGATGACATGAAGCATGCGTGTGCCCACCGCAGCATGACCCCCCATGGCCCCCGCTCCGCCACCGCCTTTAGAAGGCGAGAGCGGCTGGGAAGGAGGGGGGGGGGGGGGAAGGAGGGGGGGGAGGGGGAAGGAGGGGGGGGAGGGGGAAGGAGGGAAAGGAGAACAAAGGGAGCACAGGAGGAAACAGAAGACAGCCAGTGGAATGGCTTTTGAGACGTCTCAAAAGCAGAAGACAGAAGAAATAAACATGAGTTGGGACCAGTGGAATGGGGGGACAGGGATGACAGCAGAGGGAACAGAGAGGGACCCGAGGGAGGGGCCGTGGGTGGATGACATGAAGCATGCGTGTGCCACCGCAGCATGACCCCCCATGGCCCCCGCTCCGCCACTGCCTTGAGTAGCCGCGCCGCCTCGATGAGAGCGAGGGGCAGCATGACCCCCCATGGGCAGCATGACCCCCCATGGGCTCCGCTCCTGTATTTTGTGCACCCATCTCACCATAACTACATTCTTGGGAACCCCCGTCCCAGTCAAGTGCATCTTGCCCATCTGATACATGGCGCCCACGTGCTGCCACCCACTCGCCCCCTTCCCCTCTTCTGATGTGCCTAACCCCACTCCCTTATCTCACCATGACAACGTTCTTGGGTACTCCCGTCCCTGTGAGGTGCATGTTGCCCATCTGGTACATGGCGCCCACGTGCTGCCCCTCCCC